TTTTTTTATAAAGTATAATTTATAATATTCGAAGGCACACCCATGTCAAATCAGCAAAAAAGCAAAAGAAAAATTTTATACACGCTAAATTAAAATGTGTCGCATGTGTCGTGGTTTATGGCACAATGCACAACACATTAAAGCACGACACGTGGTGCTCGTTGTGACACATTTTGTCCAGCAAGAGTACGACACATTTCGTACGACACATGAGATACATTTTTGATTGGTTCTTCTGGAAACGCATACTATGAAGTTTTTTCAATTTAATTCCATTATAATTATTTCTGTTCTGAAAACTCGAGCAGGTTACATCTTGAGATCTTTCCAGTCTCGAGTTGGTCCGATCTCTGTCAGACCGGTTCAGGGTAGTCCTCTCTCGAATATTGATTGAAAGTGGCATTTTCTCGACTAATAAATTATCGAGAAATAATCTAAAAAAAATTATTGTGGAAATTTTTGTCTTTCTTACATTCAACCGTGTTGCTTATATATGGCTATGGGTGCATAACAAAAACGGTAAATGAATAGTGAACAAACAGAACGCGACAAATTCGTATACAAAACATTCTAAGCACGACACATTGTTATGTTGGAATGCACGACATAATAACTCACGACATATAAATGCGATACATTTTATGTTAAAGTGTATAAATTATTATTTATAATTTCGAAGGCACACCCATGTCAAATCAGCAAAAAAGCAAAAGAAATATTTTATACGAATTCGAATTTATAAATTCGAAGACACACCCATGTCGAATTAGCAAAAAGGGTGCGGGTGTGGGTGTCGATATGAATCTTGTGATCACTGAGGTCAATACCCACACCCACCCCGTGCGATGTAAAATATGTGGTATTTTTGCGGATCCTTCCGTGGTCAGATCTTCGTGCCCAGCCCTTTCGTGGTACCCACAGCAGTTGCTATGTGATATGTGCCCTATTCTTGCCAGTCCTTCCGTGACCGGTGCTTTCTCGGCCGCTTCTTTCGGTGCCAGTCGTTTCGTTGTCAGTTCTTTCGTGGTGGTCAGAGGTGAGCGAAGACATGCGTCGTTTTGTGGCATGCACAGCTTGGTAGACACGGATTAGTCGTTTGGTGCCACCCGCACCTTGGTGCACACGCACCGATAGCCATACCCACACTCGACAGCGTTGTCTTGAAAACTTCATTGTACATTTTCGTGGTTTCATCTTTGTGTTTTCGTAAGTCGGTTTTTGTTGGGGAGATCTTTTTGCGTTAGGAAAGCGAAAGTGTATTTTAGCGGAAATTCATCCCGTGCGAAAAGGCAATGTGTGTTTCTGTAAATTCATTTTGTGTGTCTGAAAATTCATCTTGTGCAGAAAGGCAATTTATGTTTCCGAATATTCATGTGGTGCGAAAAGTCTGAAGACTTTTCTGGAAAGTCATATAAGGCATCACATGGCCCGACTTCAGTTCATAACTGCCTACGAAAATACTCCTGAACAGTCAAAGATTGCACTCATGCCGTTGTCCAAAAACTAATTACTGCTGGCAATAAATTCCTTTTTTGAGTTTTTGGTGATGCTATGGGTGAGCGAATGGACGAGAGTTTAGTCGGTCTACGAACGAGAATCAGACATCTACTGCTCAGTCACTAATTTGACAAACATAGGTCATACTTCTGATTACACACCTATTCCAATCAAGTATACATGAAGATATCGGGAACAAAAAGATCACTGTGTACACAGAGACGTGCATGGATCGCGGCTCTTCGGGGGAGGGTCGCTACGCACCCCTACGCTGCGACGCTGAAATAAAAGGTGAATCACGCGTGTAAAGGTAGTTTCTGGGAGTCATACAATCAATGTAAGATTGCGGTTCATGCCCGACTTCAATAAGATTTCTGAACCATAGAAGATCACACTCATGGGGCTGTCGGAGAAGTAATTGCTATTGATGAAAAGTTCTTTCTTCAATTGTTTTATCACAGTGTGGTTGAGTGAATACACGAAAATTTAGTCTGTGTATGAACCAGAATCAAACAGCTACTCTCCATTCAGTAATAGAACAAATACAGGTTACCCTTCTCATAACACATATATTGCAATCAAGCATCCAAGGAGATATCAGGAATAATAAGATCACTATGAACACAGAGACGCGCATGGATCGTGGGTCTTTGCGGGAGGCCCCTATGCCCTTTAACGCCGCGACGCTGAACTAAAAGATCAATTTCGTAGAGAAAGTGCCGTTTTGGGTAATCGAGTACCAGATGTATCCACTACAATGCTCACTAGTATTTTTCGATTCAGAATGACTAGGTGCCAAGGTGTGAGCATTCGGTTAGCAGTTATTTTCATTCGTACACATGTAACCAGTTTATGCTGGGAAGGGCTATAGGAAAATGTTACCTGAGCTTTTTTAAACGGTGATTGTAGCATGGCAGGTGGTACTTACAGCATCACATTGATGCTCGTACCATGCGAGGTTCTGAGCAGGATTCGTGCAGATGCTTACAGCAGCACAGTTAATGTTTTAAGACTTGCAGGAAATGCTCACAGCATCTGCGGCGATGCCTGCACACTCTCAGATTTTGACTCTCGAATCTCAGATGGGAATAATCTGCATAAGATTCGTTGTCATAATTCAAAAGAATTTTTATCACTTGCTTTGTTTTCTAATTCAACATGGGTACGGCTTCCAATTTATAAATTATAATTCATATAAATTCTTTTTTTTGCTACTTCAACATGGGTGTGCCCTCGAATTTATAAATTCCAATTTATACAAGTAACGCTCGTCTGTGGACCCGCTCAGCTCTTTCTTGTAGAAGTGCTGTTTCTGGATTCTTTCCAAATTATTCACTTATCTATATTACTAATAGAAACGAGTTTCAGATTGAAATTCTTGTTTTTGAATTTCCTCTAGTGACGTTTTCTCCTAAACTATGATGACATTAGTATGTTTTACTACTCCTTAGCATTGCTAGCTTATTAATACAA